CCTATTGTAGAATAAGAGGGATTGACAACATCAGCTGAAAGTGATGCGAGTTACAACATTATGATGAGAGATGAAAAAGTGTTTCTTTCTGATAACGAGTCCGTGTTGATTGATGTGGAGCATCATATTCTGGACAGATGTGTTTAGCAGAAATGTGACTCATGGGATCCGCCGCCATCGTCTCATTCCTACTAGCAAAGCACCGAATGTTCAGCAACCGAATAAGCGAAAAGACCGAATAAATTGTACCGAACAATGACATTTTCGGTGACGCGATCAAATAATACTCAGAGTGCTGGTTACTGCATGATGATTGAAATCACGAAATGGCCTTAAACAATTAGTAAATAAACTGCAGACCCTTATGTGTAGTATTCTGCATTCCGACAGCGATGACACGCTTGCGGCGCTATCTGCTCGTTAGCCAGGAAAATCTGAGCTGAAACAGTGCTACTCGTCAGTTGCTCAGTCACATTTTTATGAATTTTTACAAGGCATGGATGTGACGATGCGATACGTGCGTCAAACATCTTTCTAAATACGTAATGAGAATCATTTATAAATCTGCTGTTGCCAACAAAAAGCAGCACTGAGGTCTTCCTGCGGGTTTCCGCCAAAATAAAAGCTGAGAAAAAGCAAGACCATAATAGCTCTATTAATACATTTATTATAACGTTCACACAGTGTTCAAATTGGGATCTGTAATATTTTCTTTTAAAATAAGTGTCTTCTGCTCAGCAAGGCTGCATTTATTTGTACAGTAAAAAAATACAGAAACAGTAAAAATGTGAAATATTATTACAATGTAAAATATCTGTTTTCTATGTGAATATGTGTTAAACTGTAATGTATTTCTGTGATGCGCAGCTGTATTTTCAGCATCATTACTCCAGTCTCCAGTGTCACATGATCTTCAGAAATCACTATAATATGCTGATTTGCTGCTACAAGTGTCACGTTTTTAGCCAATCACATGCCTGATTCAAGAAAAGGGTCTCAGAAATAGCCAAAAAAAACTAACTTATTAATTTTAAGTTAAATTGTGCTTTGTTGGTTTAATGTCTGCTAGAATGTTAACATTTTTTAAATAAATACTTTTTTAAATTGTTGTTTTGTAATTGATTTTTTCTTTAAAAGCTAGACAAAACAGTAAAAAGCACATTTTGGCTATTTAATTTATGCAAATGGTGAAAAAAATTGGCAAAATACATAGGGGGAAAAACCGTGTTCGGTATTCAGCCTTCAGCCTAGTTATTAATTTTGTTCGGTTTCAGGAACCGCGCCGGGTACCATAGCAACCACATAGCAACACCTTAGCAACCACCCAGGGTACCTTAGCAACCGCATAGCAACACCTTAGCAACCGCCATAAGTACCCGAGCAACCGCATAGCAACACCCTAGCAACCAGCCTAAGTACCCTAGCAACCGCATGGCAACACTTTAGCAACCACCCCGGGTGCACTAGCAACCGCATAGCAACACCCTAGCAACCGCCCAGAGTACCTTAGCAACCGCATAGCAACATCCTAGCAACTGCCCTAAGTACCCTATACACCGCATGGCAACACCCTAGCAACCACACCGGGTACCCTAGTAACCGCCCTAGCAACCACACCAAGTACCCTAGCAACAACGTAGCAACCACCTGGAGAGTTTTCTTTTCGGTGCATCCCTCATTCCTACATGATCTACAGGTGGATCAAACACAGCTCTTATCCCGATCTCAGTCTGGTGTCGCACCCCAAAATGAGCAAATGATGCCCTTCGTGCCTGTGTTTACTGTAACCTCCTCATCTCCGCTGCCTCTCTAATTAAAGCGAACAGATAATTAGCTTAGCTGGCGAGCAGCGCTGCAAACGCTCGGCTGTGTAACGTGTAATTGATGGTTAGGTGAACGCGTGCGCAGTGAGCATGTAGGTACATAATTACACAGTGCAACTTCACCATTCCAGCGCCAGACGTGTTTGTTGCTCCCGTTTACCTCTGATCATTTCTGTGGTTTGGAGGAGATGACTGCTTTATTTATATCAGCTTAATGAATGCCGCCCGCTGAAAGCGATATGCAGGCAGTGGGTGGGCGCCGCGGTGTCAATATCATTTCATCTAAACTCCCTCGTCAGTGGGCCGCTAATGTGAACAGATGCGAGAGAGTTTTTAATCGCTGATGAGGACTGTTGTGGCGTTTGCACTCGGATTGTTGAAGTACAGCAGCATTTGTCCTCTAGCTCAATGGATGCTGGTCTTTTGGTTGTTCATGAAACACTAGCTAAACCATGAGTGAGTTTGTCGTAACGCACTCCTCCGGTGGAACGGCTTCAGTCATGGTGAAAAAAATTGGCAAAATACATAGGGGGAAAAACCGTGTTCGGTATTCAGCCTTCAGCCTAGTTATTAATTTTGTTCGGTTTCAGGAACCGCGCCGGGTACCATAGCAACCACATAGCAACACCTTAGCAACCACCCAGGGTACCTTAGCAACCGCATAGCAACACCTTAGCAACCGCCATAAGTACCCGAGCAACCGCATAGCAACACCCTAGCAACCAGCCTAAGTACCCTAGCAACCGCATGGCAACACTTTAGCAACCACCCCGGGTGCACTAGCAACCGCATAGCAACACCCTAGCAACCGCCCAGAGTACCTTAGCAACCGCATAGCAACATCCTAGCAACTGCCCTAAGTACCCTATACACCGCATGGCAACACCCTAGCAACCACACCGGGTACCCTAGTAACCGCCCTAGCAACCACACCAAGTACCCTAGCAACAACGTAGCAACCACCTGGAGAGTTTTCTTTTCGGTGCATCCCTCATTCCTACATGATCTACAGGTGGATCAAACACAGCTCTTATCCCGATCTCAGTCTGGTGTCGCACCCCAAAATGAGCAAATGATGCCCTTCGTGCCTGTGTTTACTGTAACCTCCTCATCTCCGCTGCCTCTCTAATTAAAGCGAACAGATAATTAGCTTAGCTGGCGAGCAGCGCTGCAAACGCTCGGCTGTGTAACGTGTAATTGATGGTTAGGTGAACGCGTGCGCAGTGAGCATGTAGGTACATAATTACACAGTGCAACTTCACCATTCCAGCGCCAGACGTGTTTGTTGCTCCCGTTTACCTCTGATCATTTCTGTGGTTTGGAGGAGATGACTGCTTTATTTATATCAGCTTAATGAATGCCGCCCGCTGAAAGCGATATGCAGGCAGTGGGTGGGCGCCGCGGTGTCAATATCATTTCATCTAAACTCCCTCGTCAGTGGGCCGCTAATGTGAACAGATGCGAGAGAGTTTTTAATCGCTGATGAGGACTGTTGTGGCGTTTGCACTCGGATTGTTGAAGTACAGCAGCATTTGTCCTCTAGCTCAATGGATGCTGGTCTTTTGGTTGTTCATGAAACACTAGCTAAACCATGAGTGAGTTTGTCGTAACGCACTCCTCCGGTGGAACGGCTTCAGTCACATTCACTGCTTCCAGAGTGTTGTTTTCTGTTGTTTCCAGACAGGTTTCCCAAACGCTCCTGCGATACTGTAACCGGGATCTGTCCAGCATTAGACTGTAAAAATGCACATTACTGTTTCTCCTCTTCTCTTGCTCACTTCCTAATCCAGCTGTCTAATAAACCTGGCATTGTATGTTTTGATTATTGTTGGCTCTTTGACGAATTGCATTTGTTCCTCTTTTGTAAGTCGCTTGGGATAAATGCGTAAATGAGGGGCGGCGGCAGACCCTTTTAACTGATGTCAAATATTACTGATAACTCTGTCTAGTGCAGATGACTGGACACTGATCTGATCATATTCAGCAGTCGTGTGCGTTTACTATCAGAACTATATCCAAACGTACTCTTCTGACAAACAGGTTTGCAGTGATGTCTGAATTCATTTCAGATTTTCATCTGAATCATTTGCAGTGATTTCACACACTTAAATAGTGACAGGATATTTTTGTAAGACAGTGGTGACAAATGAGGTGGATATTTCATAATCCATTGTACTGTAGAAAACAAAACAAGCAAATGACTTTTAGCATTAGTCAGCAATGAAGCAGCTGAATTTATATTTATATATACTGTATATACAGTGCTGGCCAAAATGATAGAACACTAGTATTCTCAGCAGCTAAAAATGGTTTTAAGTCAGTTATTTCTATCGTCTGCTGGAGTGTGTCAGGAGGAAATATCAGTTTGTGTCTGCATTAACTGTAATAATGCAGTGAGATATATGTTAGTGCTGCACACAGAGATGTGATCTGATCATCATCAGTCTGTCTGGAGTCACATGAAGAAACAGAACACACTGAGACTCAATCCAGAAGAACTGACGCTTCTAGAAACCTCCTGAGAAACTCTGCTCAAGTGCACCGAGGGCAAACGCTGCTTTAAACACAAAGATGCTCACACCAAATGATGATTTCATTTAGTTAATAGAAGTTAATTGATACAGAAAATCTATTTTTGACAGCATCCTCATTTTACAGCATTTTTACACAAGTGCCTCAAACTTTCTTGAAGCGTCTCGGAGACACAGTTCTTCTGGATTGAGTCTCAGTGTGTTCTGTTTCTTCATGTGACTCCAGACAGACTGATGATGATCAGATCACATCTCTGTGTGCAGCACTAACATATATCTCACTGCATTATTACAGTTAATGACACAAACTGATATTTCCTCCTGACACACTCCAGCAGAAGATAGAAATAACTGACTTAAAACCATTTTTAGCTGCTGATATACTAGTGTTCTATCATTTTGGCCAGTACTGTGTATATAACAATATGCAAAAAACAAGAATATCAAAATATTGAGAAGTTTTCTGTGATCCGGTCCTGATGAACCGGATAGAAACGCTCCTGTGTAAATGTGTTTCTGCTGTTTACTCTGACTGTGTCTAGGTGTTCATCATTACAGTTTGTGGTGTGTATTTGATGGATCTGAAGAGGTACACATTAACACAGCAGGAACGCTCTGTTTCTCTGCTTGCTCCGCTCTCCTGCAGAGGACCTGCTGCCCTTCGGCTTCCCCAGCATCGACATGGGCCCGCAGCTGAAGGTGGTGGAGCGAACCCGGACCGCGACCATGCTGTGCGCCGCCAGCGGGATTCCCGATCCAGAGATCTCCTGGTTCAAGGACTTTCTGCCGGTGGAGCCGGCGCTCAGCCAAGGACGAATCAAGCAGCTGCGATCAGGTACATCAGAGGCTTTCTCTCCTCCTGAACGTCAGGGCTCTAGTAACGATGTGGAGACTGAGATTAGCAGGGAACGCGGAAAGACCCACTCACTTCGAGATTTTAACCACAGCTGTGAGCTACAAGAGTTTGACTGGATGACTTTGGGCCAGATTTACTAACAGCTTGCGCCAGTGCAAACCATCTTCTGGCGTTAAAATAGTCAGGATTTACACTGCAAAAATGATTTTCTTACTTAGTATTTGTGTCTTGTTTTCTAGTACAAACCCGATTCCAAAAAAGTTGGGACACTGTACAAATTGTGAATAAAAACAGAATGCAATGATGTGGAAGTTTCAAATTTCAATATTTTATTCAGAATACAACATACAGTGGGTACGGAAAGTATTCAGACCCCCTTAAATTTTTCACTCTTTGTTATATTGCAGCCATTTGCTAAAATCATTTAAGTCAAATTTTTTCCCTCATTAATGTACACACAGCCTAAACAGTCTTGACTCGAGATGCATTTACTTTAAAGGTAAAATGACTTCAGATATTATGTCTCGTTTTCTGAAAAAATATAAAAATTTAGTTAGTTTTTGTTTAAAAAAACAAGCAAAAATATCTGCACTTGGGGCAAGAAAAATAATCTTGTTCAGACTTTGAATTAAGATAATTTTTCTTACCCCATTGGCAGATATGTGTGCTTGTTTTTTTAAACAAAAACTAACTAAATTTTTATATTTTTTCAGAAAACGAGACATCACGCAACATGATTTGCTAACGTTTGCGCTCATCAAATTACTGGTGTTTGCTCCATTATTTAACACCCAAAAAAGCATGTGTTAAAGCAGAGCTTTCGGTAGATTATGGAAATGATCTGCTGCATCTGTGTTCTTTAATGTGCGCATCGTCAGTAAATCACACGCAGAATTATCCCTCCCATCTGCACTTTTATGGAATTCCGATCTAACTCTAATTGGCCCTGTTCAGTAAATCTGGCCCTTTGACTGTAAATCACACGCGACTCTGAATCACACGACAGACATGTGTCTACTGTAAGCGTCGGTTCTCAACATGTGCTTTTTCTAGCTTCATTTAGAGTGAATATGGGTGAAGTGACACGAAACTTACAGCTGGTGTTGTTTTTAAACCAGGATTCCCTTCAGTTTAAATCTAATGCTGATATTGAGAGTAAGAACTGAAGAATATACACATAATGACTGGATTCACCCTCTATGTTTCTGATTATAACACAAATATATCCAGGTGTTTCTGAAGCATCTCTCTGGAGCTGTGATTGATTCAGATTCAGATATATGAGTAATGATGCTAAGCGTTCGTTGATTTCCTCCATCACTAGTTTCACGTCGCTCGTATCGCTCAGTAAAATCAGTTATGCTTAAATCAGTATTTCATCTCCATTTGTTGATTTATTTGGTAAGTAGTCGTGGAATAAGCGGGATCGTGCAGTGTTTGTTTGCTGGCTGTATGTGATCCCTCGCTTATACACGCACATGTATATATACATAAATCTAATCCATAGGATTCATTTATATGATGTATATGATTATATATAGTACTGATATATAATCGGTTTGATGTGTGTTGTATGAAGTGTGTTTGCGCTGCTGCCACTCAAAGCTTTCATTGTGTTTTTTTCTCATTGTGTGTTCGGTGTGTTTTTCTCAGGAGTCTTTGGTGAGTATCTGTTCTTTCTAGACCAACCAAACTCTCCTCATCCACTCCCGCGGGTCGATGGCGTATGTTTAGCGCTCCGCTCACGTCATCCTGTGATAAACATGCCCCTCGTCCCCCCGATCCTCCTAACAAACCTGATCTCGCTCCCTGCACCTGTTCCCTAATGAGAGGTGAAGCCGAGCTCGACAGCAAAACACACCGCTGACATCAGGAGACACTTGTTTTAGTGCAGACTCCAGAAACAGTTCATAATTAATCAAAAATAGATGCACATGCGCACACACACACACACACACACTCTCTCTCTCTCTCACACACACACTCTCTCTCTCTCTCACACACACACTCTCTCTCTCTCTCACACACACACTCTCTCTCTCTCTCACACACACACTCTCTCTCTCTCTCACACACACACTCTCTCTCTCTCTCACACACACACTCTCTCTCTCTCTCACACACACACTCTCTCTCTCTCTCACACACACACTCTCTCTCTCTCTCACACACACACTCTCTCTCTCTCTCACACACACACTCTCTCTCTCTCTCACACACACACTCTCTCTCTCTCTCACACACACACTCTCTCTCTCTCTCACACACACACTCTCTCTCTCTCTCACACACACACTCTCTCTCTCTCTCACACACACACTCTCTCTCTCTCTCACACACACACTCTCTCTCTCTCTCACACACACACTCTCTCTCTCTCTCACACACACACTCTCTCTCTCTCTCACACACACACTCTCTCTCTCTCTCACACACACACTCTCTCTCTCTCTCACACACACACTCTCTCTCTCTCTCACACACACACTCTCTCTCTCTCTCACACACACACTCTCTCTCTCTCTCACACACACACTCTCTCTCTCTCTCACACACACACTCTCTCTCTCTCTCACACACACACTCTCTCTCTCTCTCACACACACACTCTCTCTCTCTCTCACACACACACTCTCTCTCTCTCTCACACACACACTCTCTCTCTCTCTCACACACACACTCTCTCTCTCTCTCACACACACACTCTCTCTCTCTCTCACACACACACTCTCTCTCTCTCTCACACACACACTCTCTCTCTCTCTCACACACACACTCTCTCTCTCTCTCACACACACACTCTCTCTCTCTCTCACACACACACTCTCTCTCTCTCTCACACACACACTCTCTCTCTCTCTCACACACACACTCTCTCTCTCTCTCACACACACACACTCACACACACACACACACACACACATGCACGCATCATTTGTTGTTCTGCAGAATGAGTTTGGAGCTTCATCTGGGGCCTGCACTGCAAAAAAAAAAAATTCTTACTTAGTATTTTTGTCTTGTTTTCTAGTACAAATATCTAAACATTCTTGAATCAAAATGCATTTACTTGACAGATCAAATGACTTAAGGTTTTAAGTCTTGTTTTTCTAAAAAAACAAGCAAAAATATCTGCCACTGGGGTAAGAAACATAATCTTAATTCAAAGGCCAAACAAGATTATTTTTCTTACCCCATTGGCAGATATTTTTGCTTGTTTTTTTAGAAAAACAAGACTTAAAACCTTAAGTCATTTGATCTGTCAAGTAAATGCATTTTGATTCAAGAATGTTTAGATATTTGTGCTAGAAAACATGACAAATCATTTTTTGCAGTGTGTACCATGATGGTGGCTGAACAAACTCAGGGTTACAGGATTAGTTTTGAGTTGACAAAACCAAACCAGAAAACTTAAAGAAAACGTCTTGCCATATAAGTGCAAGTAAAAGTTGTAAAGTTAATTTATAGAGTTGATCATATTTATAGGTTTAAAAACACTTAAAAATCTAAGCTCATATGTAGTCATATTTAAAGCTATTGATTCTAAAATGTATTTATATGGCATATTATCTGTATGTTTATATTAATTTAAAATAAAAGCTTAATAATTACTATTAAACTAAGCTGGCTTGTGTAATGGATTAGGGAATAGTAATTATATAAATCATATAAAATAATCCTCTCTAAAAATCAGATGATTTTATCTTTAAAAGTGTTTTACTATGTAGCGTCCTTTAATCTGGAGCAAGAGAAACTGGGGGAGTGGCTTTAATGCGTCAGACATGTGTCACTTTGCTTGAAGCTGATTGGTCAGGTTTCGGTTTGAGATCTTTAAACCAGAGCATAGCCTGCCCCGGAGCAGGTTACTATGGCGATGAACACCACTAAAAGCCAAGCCACTTTCATGGTACCCAAAACCCAGGATTGGTGCAAACTAAACTGAAACTTACCTGGCTAGCCAGCTAATCCGGCTTCATGGTACAGGCCCTGGTTCTACTTAGTAGGATAGTTCATCCAAAAATCATCTACTTTTCCTCTTGTCATTATAAACCAGTTACAAAGACATTCTTTCTTCTGCGGAACACAAAAAGCAGATGTTTTGAAGAATGTTGGTAAACAAACAGTTTTGGTTCCCATTGACTTCCATTGTATTTTTTAGTCCGTATAATAGAACCACAACTGTTCGATTACCAACATTCTTCAATTATCTTCTTTCGTGTTCCATGGAGGAAAGAAAATGTCATGTAGCGCTGCATGAGTCACAGAGAGAGAGAGAGAGAGAGAGAGAGAGAGAGACAGCATTAGAGAGAGAGACATGTGCTCCGCGTGTAGATCTCCAGCTGTATCATCATCATCATCCGATCGCTAGTTAAGAGCACAAATAAAACGCAGATCAAACTAAAAGACTCGTTGTTTCTTCCATCACCTCGTCTCCTGCTGTCCTGATCTCCGTTTGTCCCTGGCTCCGTGTTCCCATGATGCTCTGCGGTGCTTCTGTGGTGTCTGCATACATTCATCTGTTGTTTCTGTCCTCGTTTCTCCCTCGTTCTTCTGCACTGATTATATTCACTGATGCTTCTCTTTGCAGCTGCAGAAATCCATCAAACAGAAATAATGGTGAACACGTGAAGCTTGGACTGAGATTCAAAGATCTGTGTGTTTGTGTGTCTTATAAATTCAATTCAATTCAATTCAAGTTTATTTGTCCAGCGCTTTTTACGATACAAATCATTGCAAAGCAACTTTACAGAAAATTAAGTTTCTACAATATTTAGTGGTAGCTTATCAGTGGTGACTGTCAGTTAATGTACATATGGCAGAAATGTACGGAAAAATCAATTAAAGACGTAATCAAACAGATGATGAACACTATTATTATATGATGCAATCAAACTTATAGCAAAATGTGGTAGTTGTGTAAGTTGTTTCAGGGTTGGCATCATCTGAGGTCCTCTGAGGAGTTGCATCATCTCTTCTCAGGTGTTCTGGATCCAGACTGAAGCTTGTGTAAATCCTAGTTACCACGGGATGTTTTACTTGACAGGTAAAATGACTTAAGATTTTAAATGTTTTCTAAAAATAAAAAATAAAATAAAAAAATTTCAAAATTTTGTTCGTTTTTGCTTAAAACGAGCAAAAATATCTGCCAATGGTGCAAGAAAAATAATCTTGTTTAGCCTTTGAATTAAGATTACTTCTCTTACCCCACTGGCAGATATTTTGTAGTTATGATGTAGTTTTGTGTGAGGTGTAGGGTTAGGGTAAAGGGATAGAAAATACAGTTTGTACAGTAGAAAAACCATTACACCTATGGAACTTATGAAATATGGAAACCAGTGTGTGTGTGTGTGTGTGTGAGGCCAAATGTGCCCAAGAGGAAAGTAAAAGCTGAAATGTTTGACCTTGCGGGGAGACTTTGTACAGTATAAAATCATTTTCTGTGGAAAGTCGCTGTCAAACACAAACGCAGTGTTTCTCCATCAGTCTGAGTCTCAGTCCAGCATCAGAGCGGTCATCACTGAAGGTGTTTGTCAGGCTGAAGGTCACTGTGTTTACGGGCCGTCGGTGAATCCTGAGCACAGTCTGTAGGTGTTGATTCCGCCGCAGTGATTTCACATGCTGTCAGGCTGCCCACAGTCACATCTACATGACAAAACACATGCGCTCAGAACGCTGAGTCAGTCTCCAGCGAACACCGGCCTCCGTCTTCTGATGGTGTCTGCGTGAGTTTCTGTATTTCACTGCTCAATCGCTCTCCTCTCTCGGATCGGCTGCGTCACGATTATTTCCGTCCACATGCAGCACTTCAGTTTTCATAGTTCAGTTTATTAGTTCTGGATTGACAGATTTTTTGTCTGAATGCCTCTGAAGTGACTTTATGTAAAGCAGAAATTACATTTATTTCATAATTATTGAATTTTACAACATTATCAGTGTTAGTTTCCTGTTTATTACTGTGAAGCTGCTTTGATACAGTCAGTATTGAGGGCAACAGTCTAGTTGTTCAGCGGCCTTGGTTCCAGAAGTATTTTCCCATTCATTTTTCCCACAGGGATTTTAAAAAAGTCTCAGTTTAAGAGTTATAAACCAAACCAACTGGCTACAAGGTGAGATCACATCATTACAAACTTTGATTTAAAGCAAATACATTTATTTGGAAATCAGACAGAATGACGAAGGTTCAAGACTGTGAACTTAGAGATCTTAGAACTTGGAGTCCCATAAAACAAGGCCAGAAAACATTTTCTCAGAATATACATTTAATATTAGATTCATTTGCCAATGATTTCGAAACGATTCGTTCCAAGCAAGTTTCGGAGCAAACTCCTCCGTTCCATAAGCCTACTCTGCTCTGATTGGTCAGCTGGCCAAGCCTGCTGTGATTGGCACAGAGAGGAGACCTTAAGCAAGTTAGCGAGCGCTACCGACAAAGCACCTTTACATAAAACAATAATATAGTGCTCCAATCCGTTCTTATAATAATGACATAAAATACAAAAACACTTATGCAAGCGAATCGTGCCCACAGCTAAAGTTTAGCTGCTAAACTGTGAACACTTAAAACAATAATGGTGGATACGTTAGCCGAGTGCTAACGTGACTAACTGATGAAACAATACAGTTTGTAAACCAAAATATGTCTACTGTAATGTTTGAAGAATGACAGACAAAAGACGCTTTGTCTTAACTTTTAATCAGAACGCAGAACAGCTGTATCACCGGCGCAGCAGCCTAACTAACTCGCCCGACTCTCCCGCATTAACCCTAGAACTGCCGTGCAGCAAAATACACAGCACTTTCACAATGATTATAATGTCTGTGCGCTACACTGCATTCTTTATTATTAAACGAAGTAATTAGAACAACGTCAGTCTACATTAATCAACACATTCTTAGGAAATAGTGGGTTCACAGCGAATTATCAGAACTACTTCAGTAAGACAGTAATATTGTGCTTTACCTGGAAACCTAAAGCTGCACTTCACACATCACATACACGTACATCACATATTAGCACAAAAACTTGATATTTTGAGCACTCAATTGAAAATGTATTTCTGTGGTATCCTTGAACACAGCGTCTTCTCAACATGATGTAAACACACTAACTAGCGGAAGTGTTTGTGGGCGGGTCAGACTCGTGGGCAGGCGGGGATTATGCAAATGTGTTACCCAGTGACGTATACCGGTAACAGGCCAAAGATTCGAAAATATGACGACTCATTAAGGCGAATCAGAATCTACTATCTCTTTTGAGAGACAATATCTTTATTTATCATGCACTTTTTTGATTAACAACTTTGCAGATTGTTTTCATTTAAGGAGAGCTACGTTATAAACTGCAAAATATGTATTTTTCAAATACCCATATGACCTGCTCTTTAAGGACTTTTCATTTCCATTGTATAAAAGAGCTATGTAAATAAATGACAGTCAGTAGGGATCTCCAAGACTGAGGCCGATGCCATGCGCATCTGGATGCATAGCCAACGATACGATACATTAAAGATACATATGAAGCAGCTGCCGATACGATTCACTCCTATCACGATGCAGTACGATTCAATTTCGATTTGATTCAACACAATGCAATACGATGCAATGGAAAAAAAATATATGATGCTATGTGTTACCGGTTCCAGACCTAGGGGGAATCTGGGCCGGCACAAGCCAAATCATGCACCAAGCTGTGAGTGATAAGGACACGTTATTGCCTTGCTCAGTGCAGTTTTAATATGACCCGGAACTCGAGCTGCTGGTCTCCAGGTGGGGTGGTGAAATACATGAAATATTTTGTTAACTCTTAGAACAATTCTGATTAACCCTCTGGGGTCTGAGGTGATTTTGAATTTTCTGAATGGGACTTTTAACGCATTTTGATGACCCCCAGGGAACGTCTACCAGGGACGGAAACAGGTCTAAACCAACCGGACATGTATTCTCAGTGAGAGGCTGAAACGGCATGGTGCAGTTCCCTGGTATCCCTTAACTCAACACCGGACCTCATAGACTTTGCCTGCGGGGATGGTAACACCTCTCTTACTGATGCGTACCATATGTGGTGTTGGCTCATCCGTGGTTGTTAGCCGAAGGAGAGAGACCAACGCCTCCACAGTGTTCTCTGGAATACTTAAAGAATCCGTTAGGATAGTGGTCACATCCACAGTGTCGCCATGTTCTTTGATGATTTCCGCTAAGACGTTGCTACCTAACAAGGGATAATGGCAGCATTGACTGACTAAAAGGGGTACTCTGATTGTCACAGACCTATGGTGCTTGCTAGGAATCTGTAGGTCAACATCTGCCCATCCCTCAAGGGGTATTTCAGTACCATTGGCTGCAGAGATTTTAAGGGACTGACTGTTAAGGAGCGACTGAAGTGGCTGAATTTTGACATGGGGTGATGCCCTATCTATCCTGGTTTTGCTAACCATAGTCACCTGGGCTCCTGAATCTAATAGCATTTCTATTGGCACACCATTGATGTTATAGGAAATAGTTCAACGTTTTCCAATGAGCTGGGCCATACGTTTCTTTGGGTCCAATTGACATGATGTGGCTGACGGTTTAACCGTATTTGTGGGCTTAACACTGTTCACGGTCGCTTCTCGAGCGACCTTTTCCAGTTTACCGACGTTCGTTGCCAATGGCTCGATGCGCTGCCTGACCACAAACAAAACAATTGGGACAGTTCATTGTCTCTTTCATTATGCAGTCTGGGCATTTACCCTTTTTCTCAACTGTCAGGGATTGTGGGTGCTTAACAGGTGTACTAGAGTTGCCATTCAGGGCACGGTCAACAGTCTGATTCGCTTTTTCATTTGTCGCGTCAGTGAGGACACTTGAGCAGTCAGCTTTCTAATAGCTTGACGATTAGCTTGCAGCTCAGCGTCCATTTGGGACTGTTTTGACGCATCGGTCAGTGTAGTAATGTCAGATTGAGCCACACTCACAGTCACTGACCTAGACTTGGCTACAGCACCCAGGTGCTTTAACCTTCCTTCTTTCTCCATTGTTGACTTTGTCAGCTGCTCTAACAGCGAGTCATCACAAACCTGTGTGTTAGCAAGGAAAGGTTTGATGTCTTGCCTAAGACATGAATGACTGTTCTTGTCATTTAACCCTTGATACAAGGTGTGCAGAAAAGTACCCTGAACCAGTCGCTTATCATAGTTAAACTCTGCACCTGAGTCTGTGACTCGACAAGAACTCTCTGTTTTAGCCCTATAAGTCTATAGAGGAACTGATGTGGACTCTCTTTGTCATGTTGTTTAGCATTACTTAGCTCGTGGAAGAGCTTGGCTACACCTTTATCTCTCACATGTTCGTGGAGAAGTGTCTTTAACCCATTCACTGTTAAACCATCGTGGTTAGTGAGCATTTCTCTAAAGGTACCCAATTTAGTTATCTTGAGCACTGCTCTAATGATCTCAACCTCCATAAACCCCTCTTGTAGAGCGGTATCCATCTGCTTCAGAGACCACTGAAAGAAATGTCCGACCCGGTATCAGATATTTGACCCCCATGAAATTTACATTCCCAGCGTGGAAGCAAAGCTGTGACATCAGACAGTCTCACTACCTGATCAGCAACAGTGGAAGATAGGCTTGTCCGACTCTGGTGGGTGTCACGAGTACCAGTGACACCCAGGTGACCTGGTATCCCCGCTGCAGCAGGTGTGTAAATGTCTCTGTCCATGTGTGACATGGGAGTGTGCAATTCACTTGGTGACTGAGGTGCAAGACAGTCTGTGGACGATAGTTGTCTGTGAGTGCCCCTGTCCGATGAAGATAAATGTATGTCCTCTGCCGAGGCAGGGAGGTGTTTGTGTACAAGTAGGTGCAAACATAAGCCTCCCCAGACCCGGAGTCGGCTGATGTCAGTTCGTGTAACAGATCCTGAAGGGAGAGAAGTTGAGCCATACCTTTATCTTCCATCGTTTTCACCCTTTCACTCCTGGTGTAGTCGTAGAGTCATAGAGCTCTGGTTCACTGAAGCCTTCTGTACTCTCGTTGCCATCTTCAATCGCCTTGGCAACCGACTGTAGTTGACTGGTACTCAACACTAAAAGCTTTTTGTGAATCTGGAAAATCAACATCCGTCATGGGGTTACATGAGCCATCGTGACGTTTCACCGTTGACGGTCGCTCTCTGGATGACGCTGGGTGCAGCGGCCTCCCTTGAAGCTTGATCACCAACCTCCACCTCTGCCGTGACCGCTCTTCCCACTCGACGATGCGGGATCCCGGACGAGCCCCCAATTGTTACTGGCTCCAGACCTAGAGGGAATCTGGGCCGGCACAAGCCAAATCACGCACTAAGCTGTGAGTGATAAGGAGACAGACATGTTATTGCCTTGCTCGAGTGCAGTTTTAATATGACCCGGAACTTGAGCTGCTGGTCCCCTAGATAACCCGCTAAAGCGCCATACTACCCTCTACAGGTGTGATGGTGAAATATTTTGTACTCTTAGGACAATTCTGATAAAATAAATAAATAAGTGGTGGGGTAACCCTTTTTTTTAAAGCCATACAGTAAAATAATTTCCTCTACCCATCACACTATGATGCTATGCAATTCAATACGGTACAGATAGTTCACTTTTATTTCTTTAGTTCAGACAGACGGCCATGTTAATCTACATTCTATATGACTCTCAGGACTCGTCTCGGTCTCCGTAGTTTTGTGATGTGTCATATTTACGCAGCAGCAGCGGTGATGAAAGAACACGCTTGAGAAACTGTTTAGAGAGGAGAAATCAATTTACATGTAATATATTGGTCACTTTCTCAATAATAAAAGTGTAGAGCATCTACTAATAATTATATGTAAAATATAGTTTTTACCGATGCAAATATGTTAGAAAATATGCATCGCGATACAACTTGTATCTGATGCACACTTTTTTAAATTGATGCATCGCATCGTTAACTTTTATGCCAATGCACTGATGCAAATCAGTGAATCTTACCATCCCTAACAGTCAGTCAGAGGTGGATGTGCTTGTGTTGTGTGTAAAATATGAAACTGATGAGCATGTAGAACATAAAGGAAGGTTTGTAAAGCATCTTGAGGTTCACGGTGACTGTAAATATTAATGCTGTGTTTGTTTTCTCTCCTCCTCTTTCCTTTACTTCTCTTTTTCTCCTCCTCTCCTCTTTCTTGTGTCTGTCTGACTGACACGTCTGTTTCTCTGCCCGGCTCACTCTCTCTCTCTTTCTTTGTCTCTCTCTCTCTCTGTCTCTCTCTCTCTCTCTCTCTCTCTCTCTCTCTCTCTCTCTCTCTCTCTCTCTCTCTCTGTCTCTCTCTCTGTCTCTCTCTCTCTCTCTCTCTCTCTCTCTCTCTCTCTCTGTCTCTCTCTCTGTGCAGGTGCGCTGCAGATCGAGCGCAGCGAGGAGACCGATCAGGGGAAGTACGAGTGCGTGGCGTCTAATTCTCAAGGCGTGCGCTACTCGTCCCCTGCTAACTTATACGTGAGAGGTATGGAACACAGTAGGTACTCCGTAGGTAATACACTTTCATTCACATGTCAGCAAAGACAGTTTCTTTAATTTACCCAGCAGCCTCTGCAGCACTTCTGTAAACGTATACATACGTATCGCGTCGCACTGTTATCGCGTGTCTGCCGCGTCTGCTCTTTGCTGTGTTTGATCTCACACAGTCCAAGCTGAGCTTTGAGGGACGTCGAGCGTCGCAAGCAGAACAAATTTCTGTTTTTATGAGCTTCTTCCAAGCAGAGGTTCATTCTGCTCGTGAGCAATTCGGAGGAAACGCCCAACTTTATCAACTCAAGGGCTTCCCGTCGGGGTTCATTCGAGATTCTCGGCTAATCGAAGCATTAAAAAAGCTAATTGATTTGAAATGAATTGGGTTTACAGGCATGTAATTGTTTCTGTAAACTCAATTAGTGATATTTGATGTTGGGCTGAAGCACTCGCGGCCTGGCCTGCTGGTCCGGAAAGAGCCGTCGCGGTTTTAATAGAGAATAAAAGAAGGTAAATGAGGTTCGATGAGGAACGAGCGGGAAAGAAACGGTCCAGTCCTCCTCAGCACCGGCCCTCAATCACGTCTAAATAATTGCTCTGATGAACGCGTTATATTAGATATTAATGTTATCAAGTGCTGCATGATGCCTCTACTAATATTGCAAACGTTTGTGTGCTTGTTAATTGTTTTCTTCATGATTTTTTTTTCAGTTGTTTGTCTGTTTGTATGTGTTTAAATTACTAATGGAAACTAATTTGACTTTAATGTTCACTACATTCATGATTTACAACTAAATATGAAGGTCTTTGCAGTGTGTCGTGTGTGTGTTTTCTCAGTTTATTTCTTTATGAAGTGAATTTCTCAGAGTAGAGCAAGGCCAAGCCACAGTATTTGATATTTGGGAGTGTATATGAATAATGCTGCCACACAAAGATGCAGATTGAAGAGCTAAACGTAAGCTAAATGAGACTGTGGCAGATGAAGATGGTTGCAGTGGCCTTTTTACTCTCTCTGTGTGTTTCCCTGGTTTTCTTCTCTGCTTTCCATCTCAAACCCCTTACACCCTCAGAGCTGCGAGAAGGTTGGTGTGTTTTTTGTTTATTTTCTCTCGTTTCTTTTATTTGGCATTTAAACTCAGAGAACTAAATGTCAGTCGAGCAGTAAACAGTGCTGATGATGGTAGCGAACCCGAGTCAAATGCACAGCGCTGTGAAGACGAGGGTCGTGTCGGTCTCGTGTGTTGCATTGTGGGATCTTGTTTGCAAACTTTCCACTCGGAAGGCCCTCTCTCTGTCTCTCTGCACGCGTTGCCATGGAAACCCAGCAATTGGAAATTATGAGCGTGCGCATGAGAACGGTCGCATGCCTGAGCGGCGCTGCGTCGTGATTGGCTGTTGTGTGGTCATGTGCTCTGTGCCACTGTGATTGTGCATCCGTCTGTCTGTCTGTGTCTGTGTCTGTGCTCGTCGTGTCTGTGTCTGTGCTCGTGCTCCTGTGCATGTGTCTGTGTGTGTGGCTCTCACTCCAGTGACAGACGTGCTTTCTGCAGATAATCAGTTTATTGATCACTCCACAGCATCACTTTTTTCCAAAGCACTGAATTGGCTGACGTCTCATCAATATCATCTGTGCCGAGCTGTCCGTCAAACATCATATGATCAGAGCGCGACAGCGACCGCAGACGAGTCTCAAACACAGCGGCTGTGTCCGTTCACTTCAGTCACACTTAAAAAGCATCCGGACATTGCATTAGATTGATAAACATGTCGTTTATTTTAAAGATGCACAAGCCAAACTTTTGACATGAAGATTTGTGGAAAACTGACTTCATACATTCACTAAAAATCCCTGGCTGATTCAAACAGACACAGACACACACAGACACAGACACAGACACAGACACAGACACGGACACACACACACACACAAACACACACACACATATAGACACACACACATACACACACACACACACACACACACACACACACACACACACACACACACACACACACACACACATACACACACACACACTCACACACACACACACACACACATTCAGACATTCATAAACGTGACTGAAGTGAACATTTTTGGTGTCACTATTCATACAGTGTTATAATTAGCAAGTATTGTACCTTCGTGCATTAACGCATTTGTCAGTTATTCTTTATAATATCTCATTCTTGCTAATTTTATGTTCACCAGTTCAGCAGCTCAGTTATGACTGATATCTGTTGTAAGCAGTGTTGGGGAAAGTTACTTATAAAAGTAATGTGTTACAATATTCCATTACTCCATAAAAAGAACTAATTGCATTGCGTAGTTACATTTTACGGAAAGTAATGAATTATGTTAGTTTTGTGTTACGTTTTGTCACCTGGCCTGGGCTTACTTGTTTTTTAATAACAACGAAACAAATCATATTTGTGGCAACTGTAAAAGTGAGATGAATAATCGTCAGTCTGAAGGAAGAGTCTCGCTCCTGAGTTCTCTCAACACCAGACACGAGAGCCGTCACTCAACACATGGGAAACAAAGCAACTTGCTTTACTTATTTGAAAAAGTAAATTTAAAAGTAATGCATTACTTTACTAGTTATTTGAAAAAAGTTATCTGATAACGTAACTTGTAATGCGTTACCCTCAACACTGTTTATAAGTAATGGTTATAATGACCAGTTATTGTTATAGGCATAGAAATAATCTGAACCTGGTTCATGTATATTAATTATGTTATGTTAAGGGTTAGGCGCTACAGCAGCGGTCAGGCAAAACAAAGCTCTCTAAATATAATGATTATTCCCCAAACTTCAAACGAGTTGTTCTGAAGGCAGCCGTTCACAGCATGATAGGATCAGATGATCAGAGTTATAATCCCAGATCACCTGTGCTCTCGTCATCAATCCCAGCAGGCTTTATCAGCTCCATAAACTCAGCGTGATGTCAGAGTCTCGTAGAGAAGCTTCGCAGTTGTTCGCTGTGTCTTTGTCACTTTCTCTCGCTGCTTGCGCATGAGCTGCATGAAGTGTCGTCTGTTTTAATGGAATGTTTCAGGGGTTTTTTAGGAAAAGTCTGTTTGTCGTCAGAGTGGCCTATTTTCATTCTGTCAGCGTGATGAAGCGCTCGAGCCGTTTCCGCTCCTGGAAAACTGTTGAAAGGCGAGTCGACTGTGAGACAGATCGTGAGTGACATGCGGCGCTCTGGAGGAGGAGAAGAAAGAGCGAGCAAACCTCTTCTGCGCTTCTGAAGAACGTGTGTCTGATGCAGGGGCCGCAGTCTCTGTAGAGTCACTGCAGAAAAATGCTTTTCTTACTCAGTATTTTTGTCTTGTTTTCTAGTATAACTATCTGAACATTCTTGAATCAAGATGCATTTACTTGACAGGTGAAATGACGCAAGATATTAAGTGTTGTTTAAAAAAAAAAAAGATTGAAGGTTTGTTTTGGCTTAATATGAGCAAAAATATCTGCCTTTGGGGCAAGAAAAATAATCTTGATTAGCCTTTGAATTAAGATTAAATTTTGATAATTTTTAAAAAAACAAGACTTAAAATCTTAAGTCATTTCACCTCTCAAGTAAATGCATCTTGATTCAAGAATCAGATTTATACCAGGAAACAAGACAAAAATACTAAGTACACGGCAAAAAAAGCTTGTCTTGTTTCCAGCCCAGATATCTAAAAATTCTTAAATCAAGAAGGATTTTCTTTTTTTATTCTTTTGATTTTGATCTCTGTTGCTTTTTATCTAACCTTTTATTGTAAAGCACTTTGGATCAACGATGGTTGTGTTAAAGTTGAGCTCTATAAATAAAGTTTGACATGACTTGACTTGAAGTAAAAAAATTATTGTCTTGTTTTCAGAAAAAACTAAACTAGGTGCTTTTTTGCTTTAAACAAGCAAAATAATCTGCCAGTGGTGTGAGCAAAACAACCTTGTTCTCTGTTAGAAATAAGATTATTTAGCTTGTTCTAAGCAAAAACACTTCATTTTGACTCGTTTGTTCTGAAAACAAGACAATAATTTTTACTTGTCTATTTGTAGATATCTCGGCTGGAAACTAGACAAAAGATCTACGTAAGAAAAGCATTGTTTGCAGTGCACAAGCGATGACGGAGTGATGGTTTCATGTGGCGCCGTGTTTGTGCGCTAGCACTGTAAGTCAATACGCTGTGGCTCTGCTTCTTCTTTCAGCGAGAGGAAAGATTGCGTTTAGATAATTCATTGTAATGGGCTCGACTAACAATGGCAAATCCAATTCAGCAGTCCCCATTGTTGCATAGATCAAATGTGCTGTTACCACCCAAGGTTATTGTTCCCGTCTCGCTGGAAGCCGAAGCTTTTAAGAGCCGCAAAGTGATTTTTGCACAATAGACGCTCGTAGTAGGTGATTTAAATTCAGATATTCACCCTGTTAGGCAGAACAGACTGGTTTAGTCACAATCATCAGTAACCCATGATAAATCATAATATTACCATTGAATGCACATGTTGGGCTCTTCTTGTGCGTGATGCACCTGAGTGTTTTCTTTGAAAGTTTGCATGTTGCTGGTGTTGCACGAGTGCATGCACTAACCCGCATTAACAGCCTCTGATTAACTGCATCTAATGACTGTGAAGATCTAGCCTTTATGTTTCATCTGAAATATGAATGTGTCCAATTCTGGGTGTCCTTTGGTCAATGCTCACCTGCAATTCAATTCACTTTTACAGTTGCACATTTTATTGTAAAGAAACATTTCATGTGCTACTGGAATCTGATTGTTTCGTCTCTGTCAGAGATCGGTTTGATCAGATGCGTTTAGCTCTAAATCGCTAGCTGATGCAGTTGTAGCTTTATTCAGGTGGATTTTTTCCTCTTTGCTGAAGTCGTAGATTTCAGAACTTGATCCTGTGTGCTGAATCCTCATAAGCCTCGGCATCCGAGAAAGCTTTGCTCAGACGTTATCTCTAAAGCAGAAGAAACAAGAACCTGGGCTTCAGACGCATCTTAACGTGGCTTATGTTCTGTCTGTGCTTCTATTGATGTGAATGAAACAGCTCATTGAATTAGTCAACATTACAGCGACAGCAAATGAGCTCCTGATTGAACTGCTGGGCTTCTTTGATCGTTATTTCATTGTTATATTAAATGTAACTCACATTTTTCTTGTTTTATGACCACACAGTCTCATGCAATGCACAGCTGATGGTGAATAATGAGATTCACTGGTGCTCTTTGTTAAAGGGATAGTTCACCCAGAAACGATCTTTCTGTCTCAAACATGCATGACATTCTTTCGTCTGTGGAGCACAAAAAACAAAACTCTGAGACATTTCTCAAAATAATATCTTTATGACAGTCAGTGCTCCAGAGATGAACAATGCTTTAACACCTTAGCAACCACACAGAAGAACCTAGCAACACATTCAACACCTCAGATTCTGCATGGAACCACCCTAGCAACTACTCAGTGCCCTAGTAACCACACAGTGTCACAGTGGCAACCATCGACCCGCACACATCTCGTTTACATCAGCGATCGATTGAAACTTCAGCGTCTCCGGTTTCTGAGTGTTTCCTGTTGCCCTGGTTCTTTGT